TATCTGACCTACAAATTAGAAGGGGGTTGAGGTTTTTTTAGAAATGTTTTAAAATAGCTGACACTTTACATTAGTTTCAGGTGTACAACATAGTGGTTCAACAATTCTACATGTTATGCTGTGTTCAGCACAAGTATGGCTACCATCTGTCACCATACAACGCTATTAAATACCATTGACGACAGTCTTTATTCCATACCTTTCATCCTTAGGACTTACCCATTTCATAATTGGAAACCTGTATCTCCTACTCCCCTTCACCAATTTTGCCCATTTCCCCATGATCTTCCCCTTTGGCAGCCACCAATTTATTCTCTGTATTAATGGGACCATTTCTGTTTTTTGTTTTTCCTAATTTTGTTTTGTTTTTAGATTCCACATACAAGTGAAATCATATGGTATTTGTTTTTCTCTGACTTATTTCACTCAGCATAATACCCTCTAGGTTCATCCACAAATGGCAAGATTTCATTCTTTTTATGGCCATATATATATGACATCTTCTTTACCCATTCATCTATCAGTGGACACTTGGCTTACTTCCACATCTTGGCTTTTGTAGATAATGCTGCAATAAACATAGGAGTGAAATTAAAAGTGTTTCATAATATAAAATTTTAAAAATATCTTAGAATATTGTCACATTGTACAAATTAGTATGTCATTATAGTGTACAGTATACAATATAGAATGGGTTCTAAATAATTTTTCTTTTTTTTTAAAGATTTTATTTATTTATTCATAGACACAGAGAGAGAGGGGCAGAGACACAGGCAGAGGGAGAGGGAGAAGCAGGCTCCATGCAGGGAGCCCGATGTGGGACTTGATCCCCCGTCTCCAGGATCACACCCCAGGCTGCAGGCGGCGCCAAGCCGCTGCACCACCAGGGCTGCCCCTAAATAATTTTTCATTCAGTTCCTATGTGTAATTTTTAAATGCCAACAAAACATGTACATGTATGTATGTACATACATGTATATAAATAGCCCAAATTAATCAAAATCATCTTTTTAATATGTCTAAAAATGAAGCCATATTTTGTGAGTCTGTGGATCAAGGTTTGTAAAGGTGGTAGTGGCATGGAACCAGTATTGTTGAGACCTACTTATTTGGCAAAGGCTTTCATATATTAGTTTTTTTTTTTCTAACAGGCTTTCATATATTATCTCAGTTTTTTTCTAACAGGTGGTATTATATACATTTTATGCACCTGAACTGAGACTAAAATACATTAAAAATCTACAAAAACAGGTTGCCAAACTAGTATGTTGACACATTGAATCTGAATCAAAGCCTATATTCTTCCTAATACACTATGTTGCTTTGCCTAAGCTGTTAGGAGTATCCTTCCTGGAAAGAAATTGCATACATTTATCAGGGGGAATTAAACTCCATTATGGGCAGAAGTTTCTTTCAAAATGGCATGATGAATTGACTCATGGTAGCAGAACAGTATAGCGACAGAAAGCCACATAGAACTAATGACACTACTTTTAAAAATATATGAAAATACTACTGGAAAGTACTCTTTCTTCCAAAAGCTACATTCATAACAATAATTTATTAACCTCATCTAACTGTTGACTGGAAAGCACTTGATTTTATGCAAGTGGATATCCTGTTGTTCTAGCACAATTTGTGTTTTGCTTATCCACTCATCTGTTGATAGAATTTTTTGTTTCCTAGTTTGAGGCTCCTATAAATAAAGACACTATGAATATCTATGTGTAAGTCTTTGTATGGACATATGCTTTAATTTGTCTTGGATCAAGATCTGTGAGTAGAATAGCTGAGTCTTATGGTAAGTGTGTGTTTAACATTTTAAGAAACTGACAAACTGTGACTGCACTATCCTGCATTCCCAGAGGCAGTAAATGAGGGTTCCAGTTGCTTTCCCCTCTTCCCAGCATCTTTAATCATGCTTTCATTTTAGCCTTGGTGATAGGTATGTGGTAGTTATCTTGTAATTTTAATTTGCATTTCTCTGTTGACTAAAGATGTTGCGCACCTTTTCTTGTGCTTATGTCTGCTCTGATAAAGTGTTCAGTTTTTGGCCCATTTTTAATTGTTTTTTTTTTATTATTATTGAGCTTTGAGAGTTTTAAAAATTATGTCTGGATGCAAGTCTTTTTATCAGATCTATACTTTGCAATTACTCTCCTTCCATCTGTGGCTTATCTTTTAATTTTTTTACCCACATCTTTTGAAGAGTAGAGATTATTAATTGAATTAGATTGACGTCCAATTTATCAGTTTTTAAAAATGGGTTATGTTTTGGTACTATAATTAAGATAGCTTTTTTTTAAAGATTTTATTTATTTATTCATGAGAGACACAGAGAGAGAGAGAGAGAGAGAGAGAGAGAGAGAGAGGCACAGACAAGGCAGAGGGAGAAGCAGGCTCCACGCAGGGAGCCTGATGTGGGAGTCGATCCCGGGACTCCAGGACCACGCCCTAAGGGCAGGCGCTAAACTGCTGAGCTATCCAGGGATAACCCCAAGAAAGCTTTACCTACCTAAATTCACAGAAGTTTTCTTCCAGAATGTTTATAGTCTTTGGTTCTTTATGTTTATGTTATGAGTATCCTTCTTGTGGAATGAAAGGTTGTCTTACCTTTAAAAACTAATAAAAATTACTAAAATAAACTAAGAAAAGAAAAATCTAATCCCATTCAAGTCTATACTCTTCCTTCTTGTCTCAGCTCTTATACTGTAAATAAGTGTTCTTTTTGCAGCTTATTTAGCATCAGATTTACTTCATTTTGTGCGTTTTATTGATGATTTCACGGTTTCAAACAGCCCCCAAGTGTAGTGCTGAAATTCAATGTAGTGTTCCCTGAGCACAAGAAATCCTTTATTGTAATACCTAAACTCTAGGATGACATATATATTTACTTCTAGGTAGCTTAACTTTCAGGGAATGGGCCATTTGTATGGGTTATTGATGATGAATTCTTGTTTAGACTGTTCTAGTCTCCTAACTGGTCTCTGCTTCCACGCGTGCCCACTTGCAGACTATTTCTCACCTAGAAACCAGAATTTCTTTTCAGACTTCTACCACATAAATGTGATGCTGTCATTTCCTTGCTCAGAACATTCCATTGGCTACCATCATAGATGATATGAATCACAAGGCCCGATGTGATCTCTCAGAGCTCTCAAACTCTCTCACTATGCTCCAGACAACCTTGCTGCTGTTCCTCTAATACCAGTAGAGTCTTTGTATTACTTCGTATTTAATTATGGCCTTGCTTTCTCTCTACTGTCTGTCTCTCTGTAATTGACTGTATACATCTCTAGGATGATAAAAACTTTTGAGACACTGTAGTCATATTCCTTAAAATTGGATAGATAACTGCCACAGGAATTTGATAAATATTTGATGAAAGAATAAACTAATGAATGAGTGAAGAAATGAATGAACATATTTCTCTTTCCTTGGGCTTACCTTCTTGGAAGTGATTTTGATTTTGCCTTTGCCAAAACATGTTCCATTCTATACTCTATACTGGAAAAGATATAGTTGATTTATTCTCAGGATTTTTTTTTCTACCACTTATAATTTATATAATACAGCAATAACTCTTAATTAGCTATGCATTAATCTATGACAGATGTTAACAAAAACCAAATGTATTGTGAACTAAAAGAACATTTCAAACATCTTTCCTAACTTTATTTTGTGATTTGACTGTATAAATAAAATTGGATTCAGTGATCTAGGTCTTTGAGCCCCTTTTTGTCTAACATTGCAGTAATGTTTTAATAGTTATGTAAAATTTTAGGTAGAAATTGTGCTTGAGGAATGACAATTTCAGATAACATCAAAGCTTCCTATATAGTGCTGCGCAAATCTAGATGATGCCATTTGTATTAATGAGGTATATAAACGACACCCCCTGGAGATGCGTAGTGCACAGCTCTGCCCCGTTTGCTTTTCCTTGATCCCATTTTCTTTCCTTTTTTTTCCACTATGCTACTGAGATAACCACTATCCTCACTTGATGATTATCATTTCCATGCTTGTTTTAATATTTTTACTAATTGTCCGTAAATAATAGGTAGAGTTGTTTTGCCTCGCACCTTGCAATTTTAGCCATAATTTAATTTTTTAAAGATTTTTTGTTTATTCATGAGAGACAGAGAGGCAGAGACATAGGCACAGGGAGAAGCACACTCCTTGCAGGGAACCTGATATGGGACTCAATTCCAGGACCCCAGGATCACGACAGATGCTCAACCACTGAGCCACCCAGGTGCCCCAACATAATTTAATTTTTGAAGTGTGTCCATTTGTCCATAGCTAATTCATTTTAAATGTTGTATTGTATTCCATTTTGAATGTTTAGTAATTTATTTATCCTTGTCCTGTTGTTGGACGTTTGAGTTATTTCTAAGTTTTTGCTATTACAAATTGCTGCGTGTTTATACGTGTTTCCCTGTATACATGTGCAAGGATTTCCCTAGGCTGCATACCAAGGAGATTTGCCAGGTTATAGGCACATCTTAACTGTAATGAATATTGCCAAATTGCTCTTCAGAGGGCTGTAGAAATATATACACCTATCTTCAGTATATGTGAGAGTTTCCTTTATTTCACAAGCTCACAGAATCTGTTATTATTTGACCTTTTAATTTATGTTTTTGTGGGTATGAAATGTATCTTGGGGATGCCTGGGTGGCTTAGTGGTTGGGCATCTGCTTTTGGCTCAGGGCGTGATCCTAGGGTTCCGGGATTGAGTCCTGCATTGGGCTCCCCGCGGGGAGCCTGCTTCTCCTCTGCCTATGTCTCTGCCTTCTCTCTCTCTGTCTCTCATGAATAAATAAATAAAATCTTTTAAAATAAAGGTATCTCAGTTTTGCAGTAGCTTTTAAAAGTAATGTTTTTTCAAGTGATTAATACTAATTTAATTTAGTAAAATAATAAAATTGTATTTGCCTTTTTTTGTTTAAAGTATGCATTTTGAAATTTCTCTAATTATGGGTTATATATTTTGGTAGCTCTGATTGAAGAAGTATATTTTGCACAGAAGGAACGTGATGATGCTATTATGTCTCGACTGCGATTAGCCAACGAGGAGAGAGATGAAGCAATTGCACGAGCCAAGCATATGGAAATGTCTCTAAAAGTGTATGTATGTGTTTAAAACTATATGTTACTTTCGAGCATTTATAAAGTGCATCTTTATGTGGTGGTTACATATTAAGAAAAATTACTGATTCTTACCTGGTACACCAGTGAATTCCATATTCCCACAGTCTTTCTAAAACTTTTGACATGCAGGATGCCTGGGTGGTTCAGCGGTTGAGTATCTGCCTTCCACCCAGGGTGTGATCCCGGGAGTCCTGGGATCAAGTCCCACATTAGGCTCCCTGCCTGGAGTCTACTTCTCTCTGCCTCTCTCTTTGTGTTTCGAATGAATGAATGAATGAATGAATGAATGAATGAATGAATCGAGTCCCGGGATCAAGTCCCACATTAGATTCCCTGCATGGAGTCTGCTTTTCTCTCTGCCTATGTCTCTGCCTCTCTCTGTGTGTCTCTCATGAATGAAATGAATGAATGAATGAATGAATGAATGAATGAATAAATAAATAAATAAATAAATAAATAAATAAATAAATAAATAAATAAACTTTTGACATGCTGTAGTGGTTTGCATGTCAGGGATAATAGTCATAAAAAAAGGTGAGGGGAATACACAGAATTGTCTGTACAGTTACTTTCTTTACTTCTTCATAACCTATTGTTGATATCCTTACTCTACCTTCCTTTATGATGCCTCTTTTCTTCCCTCTCTTATTACTGCTTTCTTAGTTTATTTAAAGTATGTGGGTTCTTTCACTGTTCTCTGCTTAATATACTCATTTTGATTATTCTCTACTCTTTTATTAGATGTGTTATAAACCTTAATGACACTTGAAATAGAATAGAGCCTGAGAATCTACGTTTTTAACAGGAAACCCAGGTGATTCTGATTTAGTAAATAATGGACCATGCTTTAGATAAACAATGCTCTAGAAATTATCCAATTTTAATGTGCCTTCAGTCACTTGGGAAATCTTGTTAAAATGCTCATTCTCATTCATTGATGATGGAGTGGAGCTTAAGATTCTGTTTTTCTTCAAGCTGCCTGATATTATAAATGATGCTTGTCTAAGGAGTCAGATTTTGGTAAAGGCTCTAGAGCATCTAGAAATATACCTGTAAGATAGGAACAATGCAGTAATGTAATATTTTATGATGATCCATCAATATACTTATTGAGTGTTTGCTCTGCCCAACATTGTACTAGGCTCCATGAGGGATTACAGTAAAGTACTAATTAAAACATTGTTCATTAGGGAGACAAAAAGTCATTAAATAATTAACATGACAGTGTTCAAGTTGTGATTAGGTAATGTGATTTGTTTTTTTGTTTAGATTAATGGCTTTTTTTTTTTGATGGCTGATAGAGACTCATTCATTATAAGGCATTAAACTCATGGAATAATAGAAATAAAGAAACCAAAAAAATTTACCTGAATTCCCCAGTGCTTACTCCCAGATAACTATCTTTATCAATAGAGAAACATTATTTCAAACATTTCCTTTGCTTACATAGTTAAATACTGTTATCTACAAGAATGGATGATTGGTGGTTAAATGGATATATTCATAGAATTAATTTGATAAAAATCAAATAATTCTCTACATGTTGTTTTATTTGAGAGGCAGTATAATGTAGAGGTTAACAGCACAAGATCCAGATCCAGACATTTGTATTTGAATCTTGGCTCTGTTGCTTCCTAGCTGTATGGCCATAGACAAACTACTCAGAGTCTCTCGTACTGAGTTTTTTTTTGTCTACAAATTGGATAAATAATACCTACTTTGTGTAAGCTGTTATGAGGACTAAATGATTTAATATTGAAAAGTTCCTGGCTCGTAGCTAGTGCTTTGTGTTACTTGAATGTGGGAGAAATAATCAATTGAAATGAAACTAAAAAAATTTTTGAACTTCATGCAAAGTTTTCTTAAAATAAGATATATTAATATATATCTTCATGCAAAGTTTTCTTACAATAAGATATATTAATACCCAAAGATCCTTCAAAATGTAAGAAAAGAGACTGAAAAACATTAAGATGTTGGATCATCAATTCTTTTCAGTTTTTTGGAACATGCAGTGTTTCAATTAAATAGTACCATTTGACTTTCAGCTATGAAATAAGTTTTAAATTCCTTTTTTCCTTTATAAATTCTAGTTCTAAAATATTTGCAAAAGTTGTATTAGATTTTGTAGACAAAGTGCCACACTGTTTAATTTTGATTTTATATTTAAAAGGATTGAATAATCATTATTGTAATTTTTATCATACATTACATTTTTACACCTGATTTCTTATTTTGGGAAATCCCTAGGTAACCGAATTTCACTTTTGAGGAAGGGCTTTTAGATAGATACTTTACTCTGAGATTTAGCATGCATCAGACTGGCTTTGTGTTATTCTTAAATTGGTTATGAATAAAATTATTGAGTTAAGTATTTTTTATTCTAAATATTGTAATAATGTTACTCTATTTTTTGACATTGAGTTTGACTCAAAAGAAGTCAGGTCACAGGGTTTGTTTTTTTTTCCCTCCCTTAACTTATATGTGACTTGCTTTGTTTTTTGGTTTTTGGGCTTTTTCTGCCTAGATACCGGAAGGATTCTTTGTTCTTGAAGTAGAACTTAATCATGATATTTGTGTTGATTCTCCTTTAATAACATATTTGGAACTCACACCATGCCTCTCTAAGGACTATTTGATTCTTCTTTTAGTTCATGGAAATTTTAGATTTGTGAATTTTGTATTCTGTTTGTTAGAAACTCTTATTCTTATGTTGGGGCACTTTGTCTTTATGTATTACCTGTTCAATAATAATTTGAATCTCTCTTTTTTTCTCTGCATTCATTGTGATAATCTCAAGCCTTTTCTTTATATTAGTAATTCCAATTGTTACTATTCCTGTCCCTATTTTTTCTAGTTCATTTATTAAATTTTTATGTATTCATTTGTTGGTTTATGGTTCTCAGCATGTTCCCTTAAGTTTTCAACTTCCCTTTTCAATCATTTTTTTTGTTTTGGCATCTTCTCTTTGAATTTCTTTTATTAAATTCATGTTCTTCTTATCTTTTAAAATACCAACCACTGGCAAGAAAAGTTTTTTTCTTTTTTTTTTTTCAAGATTTTATTTATTTATTCATGAGAGACAGAGAGAGGCAGAGACATAGGCAGAGGGAGAAGCAGGCTCTTTGCAGGGAGCCCAATGTGGGACTTGATCCTGGATCCTGGGATCACGCCCTGAACCGAAGGCAGACGCTTAACCGCTGAGCTCATGTGTCCCAAGGGATTGCTTTTGGCCACCTTTCCCATATAGTCCTCTTGGCAGTGGGGTAGAGGTGATAGAGGTTGGGAAGATCTACCTGGGCTCTATACCCCTTCTTTCGTAGGTTCTGTGCTCCACCTTAGGGATTTTGTTTGGTGTCTTGCAGTGCATCACGGGCTTACTCTACCTATTCTTATGTACATCCAGATGCCATGGAGTATTACTTTTGGGCTTTTATTTGTTCCACCAGTGTAGTGGAAAATGGCCCTGCCTGATGCTTCATGCTTCCTTTGTAAAGATTCTTCAGTAATACAGGCTTCTTCTGTTTAGGAAGGATTTTACTTTTCTCTGGGCTATCTATGTAACTCATTAGTCTCTCAGGTTATTTCCAAGCTGTGCTGTATTAGTGAAAAATTCTCAGGTTAGTGAGCTCATTGTCTTTTCTCCATACCTGTTTTTATGGGTAAAAGGAAAAGTTAAGTGAACCCGGCCAAAATCATTTCTCTACCCTACTTCTAAAAATTATATGAATAATAGTGAAGGGGAATATAAGGGAAGGGAGAAGAAATGTGTGGGAGATATCAGAAAGGGACACAGAACATAAAGACTTCTAACTCTGGGAAATGAACTAGGGGTGGTGGAAGGGGAGGAGGGCGGGGGGTGGGGGTGAATGGGTGACGGGCACGGAGGGGGACACTTGACGGGATGAGCACTGGGTGTTATTCTGTATGTTGGTAAATTGAACACCAATAAAAATTAATTTATATATAAAAAAAAAATAAATAAAAATTACTATGTGATGTCCTGTTTCCTTCACTATTTGACTAATTTTTTATCTTCTGTTCATATGGCAAATTTCTGTGTTTCAGATTTCACTCCACTGTCTTTACTTAGACTTCCTTTTTTTTTCCCAATAAACTTATTTTAGAATACTTTTAGATTACAGAAAACTTACAAAGATAGTTCAAGGAGTTTCCATATAGCCATCTTCCAGTTTTTTATTTATTTATTTATTTATTTACTTACTTACTTATTTATTTATTTATTTATGATAGTCACAGAGAGAGAGAGAGAGAGAGACAGAGACACAGGCAGAGGGAGAAGCAGGCTCCATGCACCGGGAGCCCGATGTGGGACTCGATCCTGGGTCTCCAAGATCGCGCCCTGGGCCAAAGGCAGGCGCCAAACCGCTGTGCCACCCAGGGATCCCCCAGTTTTCCTTTGTGTTAACAGCTTACATTATTATTGTACGTACATTACAGGAGAGAAAGCAACATTGATACATTATTATTAACTAAACCCCATACTAATTAGATTTCACTAATTTTTCTCATGTCCTTTTATGTTCCAAGATCCCATCTAGGATCTCATTTTAATTTAGTTGCTATGTCTCCTTTGCCTAGTCATATTTTCTCAGACTTCACTTGTTTTTGATGACTTTGACAATTTTCAAGAGTATTGGTCAGGCATTTTATAGAATGTTATTCAATTTGGGCTTTTCCGCATTTTTTTCATGGTTACATTGAGGTATTGGTTTTTTGACACAAGGAGTACAGGACCTCTAGTGCCATTTTCATCATATTATTTCAACATTATGCTATTAGCATGACTCAACACCAGTGATATTAATCTTGATCACCTAGCCAAGGTAATGCTTGTCGTGTTTCTCCACTATAAAGTTACTATCAACATACCCCTTTCATATTTCTTGAAGCAGATTACTTAAGTGCAGCCCGTACTCAGAGGTGGGGGCTGAGAGGTTAATTGAGCTCTCCTT